ATGAGAGAGGCAACTATCCGTGTCGAGAGAATGTAAGAGCAAGAAGGTGGTTGATAATGCAAAGGGGAGAAAGGAAAGAAATGAATAGCTAGATGATGACAATAACGGCGGCGTAAGCGCATGAGAGGGATCCAGGATAGAGGAAGAAGAATGAGGACGCGGACTAGTCCTTTTTTTTAACATACAAACAAGATACTCCATCAATTTTTTTATTCTGCATATAAGATTTATCATAAATCAAACTTCATAAAGCTTGATCAAATTTATATGAGAAAATAAGTACGATACAAGAGATATATAAGATATCAAAATTAATTACATGCTGCATTTAATGATATTGTGATTTTTGTTGTATTATCTTGGTCAAATTTTATGATGTTTGACTTAAAACCAATTCATATATATATATACACCCGAGTAGGCAGTGGAACAGTACTGGTAGCTTCTCGAGTTGCGACAACCTGTTGTAACCTCTAGCTTGCTTGCCGCCTTGCCTCCTCCTGTAATTTCTTGTCGGTCGATTGATCGATCGACGAGCTAGCTACCTCTGCGTCAAGGCTCACAGAGGGATCGATGGGGTCGGTGAAGGAGGGGAGCTTGAAGAAGTTGTGCAGCCACCACGTGGTGCCGTTCCTCGTCGGGGGAATTCTGCCCATGGTCCTCCTCTTCGTCTTGGCCTCTGACCGTGTGGGCGAGCAGCTGTCCAGCATCTCTGGCAACTGGCTGGGGAACAGGAACAGTGGAACTCCCGGGGCGGCGCCTACACCGCTGGAACATGCGGTAATCAAGAAAGCAATCCCATCGTATATTTATTCATGCATGACTGCTCACCTCCACCTAGTTCTTTTTTCTTTTTCAGTTTGCCCTCTCAAGAGCTAGCATTTGCGTAATTTCATCACGGATGATGAAGGATTTTTTTTTTTGGCGGTGAATCTTAAGTCAATCCCAAGCTGGTGCTCTTAATTATGTGTGATCAATCCAATGGTTCAAATCTAGATCCAGAATGCGCAACCGCATGGGAGAGATCCAGGATATAGGAAGAAGAAGAAGGACGGGACTGGTCTTATTTGTTTTGAACATACCAAATATAAACTAGATACTCCATTGATTTTTTTACTCCGCATATAAGATTTATCGTAAACCAAACTTCATAAATCTTGACCAAATTTATATAAGAGAATAAATACGATACAAGATATATATGATATCAAAATTAATTACATGATGCATGTGATGATATTGTGATTTATTTATTTATTGTAGTTATCTTGGTCAAATCTTACGATGTTTAACTTAAGGCAAATCTTGTACGGCGACTAAAATGCGGATGGGGTAGGTATATACACAGTCACACATCGTATGCTGAGAACCAATCACAAAGTATCAAGGTTGACAAGGTCTTCCCAAAAAAAAAAAAGATTGACAAGGTTTATTGGGTTTTCCTACTTTTCTAAATGGGCTTTTGTGCTCCTCCCAGTTTTACAGAGTGGTCAGAGGGATTTCCTATTTGGCGCTGCAGGCGCCGGTTTGGCGCAACCTGGGCTCGGCCCAACTTCCACTATTCCTGTTTTCTAAACTCTATATAAAACTGCAAAAAAGCCGCGCACAGTAGGATTCGAACCTGCGTCGCGGGTTTTCAGGTATCGACGTATAACCAACTCGACCGTTTCACCAGATGTGGTAGCACCCATGTTTCCGTCCCTTTATTTGTTCTTCTTTTTTCTTTTTCTTTTCCTTTTGCTTTTTTCTCTATCCTTTTTTACTTTCTTTTTTCGAAATTCGTAATTGTTTTCTTCAAATAGATGAACTTCTTTCTCTAAATCCATGAACTGAATTTTTCGAAACTCGTGAACTTTTTTCAAATTGATGAACCATTTTCAGAATAGGTGAACTTATTTTTCAAATTTATGAACTTTTTACAATTTTCTGATTTTTTTTCTTAAAATTGATGAACTTTTTCTGCAAAATCGATGAACTTATTTTCAAAATTAATGAACTTGTTTCAATTTACATGAACTTGTTTTCAAAATTCATGAACTTTTTTCAATTTAGGTGAACTTTTTCCAAATTCGATGAACATTTTTCAAATTGATGAACTTTTTTTCAAATTCGATGAACTTCTTTTGAATCCCTGAACTGTTTTTGAATAAATGAACTTTTTCGAGTTGGTGAACTACATTTCGAATATGCGAACTTTTTTTTGCACGCTCATGAACTCCATTTGTAATATGTGAAGATATTTTCAAATAATTGGAAAATATAAACCCTACAGTGTAATGTGCAATAAATAACGTGTCTACATTTCTATTCTTTAAAGATCTCGCGCTGGTAATAAGTAATAGTAGTCAGCTGGTGCAGTGGCTAGCCTCTCCGTGTTTAAGTGCGAGGTCGCGAGATCGAATCGGAGTCGGGAGGTATTTTTGCCGGTCATTTTTTTGCGTTGCTTGTTGCGTGATCGTGGGCCGGCCCATCCAGCGGCTGCTGCAGGCGCTACTTCTCTTGCGGGGCGCTGAAGGCGCGGTATAGGAGCTCCCGCGCACCTCCTTGACCACCTCCTGGTCGTCGCCCTCGACCCCGCCGGCTTCCGCCGCTGCGTCGCCGTGCACCCGCACTGCTACCTCCTCGAGGTGACCGCCGTGAACCTCACCTCCGCCGCCCGGTTCGTGTCCAAGCAGTACCTCGAGCTCGTCTGGACCAAGCTCGAGCTCCAGCAGCGCGTCCTGGAGCTCGGCTACAACTTGCTCTTCACCGTACGTGAGAATGAGATCGAACACCACAGCACCACTACTACAGTACTTGCTAACACCACAAGCAGAACTAATCCATGGTGATTGATATCTATCGCTTGCATGTATGGTAGGACACCGACATGCTCGTGCTCCGGAACCCGTTCCGGCGGATCCCGGTGTACGCGGACATGAGCGTGTCCTCGGACGACTACTCGGCGGCGCGGGCGCACCCGCTGGACAACCCGCTCAACACGGGGCTCTACTACGTGAAGGCGACGAGCCGGGGCGTGCGCATGCTCGAGCACTGGCGGGCGGCGCGGGCGAGGTTCCCCGGCGCGCACGACCAGTCGGTGTTCCACAACATCAAGCGCGAGCTCGTCCAAAAGCTGGGGGTCGCCATCGAGCCCCTCGACACGGTCTACTTTGGCGGGTTCTGCGAGTACCACGACGACCTCGCCCGCGCCTGCACCATGCACGCCGACTGCTGCGTCGGCGTGGACAACAAGGTGCACGACCTCCGGGACATCGCCGCCGACTGGAGGAGGTACAGGGGCATGGCGCCGGTGGAGAGGAAGAAGGCGGCCGGGAATATGACATGGACGGTGCCCGCGCGGTGCCGGAGGTCCGTGAACTGGAGTAAGCCCGTGCACCCCTGATGGCAGCTGCAGCTCGAATGATAACTGATATAAGTACTACAGTTTTTTAATTTGTGTCGTCGAGATTGCCCAGGATTTATGTAGACGTACTGAATAAACTGTTGAGAAAATACGCCTAGTTCTCAAGAGTTTGAGAGAGGAACAGTAGTGCAGTTTCAGAGGGAGACCCGTCGAGATTCTTTCAGAAACCTGTCGCAAATTGCTACTTTGAATGGATTCAGAAGCACCTGCCAAGCAACGCTGTCTCTTGATCGAGCTGCTTTCTTTTTTCAAATAAACGAATGCGAGTATGATTGGATGGAAAATGAGCAGAAAACCTCAACCGGATCCCCCTACATTGTACAGAAAAACCTGCATTCTACATGCATGGGTTTACACAGGCAGTTCAGACACAACAAAAAACAGCAAAAGAGGAGTAACAAGTCATGGGATGTAAGCGAAGACAACAGACAAAATATAGCCAGAGTAAACCTACAAAAATACTGACAGAAAACAATATGATCCTTGTGGTCACCAATCAAATTGTTGGTACACTTGTCGGGCCATTAACGCGATGAGCTTCAGGTCGGTTGATGAAACCACGAAACTAATGGTTCCAAACATGATTCCCAAAAAATAATAACTGCTGAAGGATAATTTGTGAAGAGAAAAGAAATGCTAAATCAGGCAAACAGAAAGTGCATTCTCATTGTCACCTCAACGCAGGTACTTGCATAAGTTATTTTGGTATCTAGACAGTCATCAAGAAAGTAGTCTCTGGTCTGGAGGATCATCCACCTCACACTTATCCAAGGTACATATTTAGGGACTTGCAGAAGGAGATGCAGACTGGAGCCCTAGACATTCTTGCTGGCGTACTTGTCAGGTTCATCATCCTTGAAGAGGTCGTCCATGACATCGTCATTCTTGGCGCTTTCAAAGCTGGAACCAGGGGTGCCGAGGGAGAACTCATCACCACCGGTGGAACCTGCAGGAGCACCATGGTTTCCACCAAAGTTGCCGGCAGCAAAGTTGTCGCTGCCAGCAGGAGCAAAGCTGCCTCCAGAGAAGGCATCATTTCCCACAGGGGGGGCATAACCACCGCCGCCACCGCCACCGTTGCCACCATAACCACCTCCTCCATAGCCACCACCGCCATATCCTCCTCCTCCAAAGCTGCCACCACCACCTCCATAACCAGCACCATTACGGAAGCCAGCAGTCCTCTCAGTGGCAGCACTAACCCGTAGACTGCGTCCATGTAAGTCCTGAGATAAGGAAGAAAGTAAGTTGATGGGCAACATTAGATGCAAAGTTTTGAAACTTATATGAATCATTGCATGTTCTTGAAACTGAAACTCCTACAGTAAACATATCGAGGTGATGAAAACAATTGTAGTAAGCTCACTCACTGATGAATTTGACATCATTCCGTTTTCCTAACAGGCTAGCAGAGCATTAAGAAAGATGATGTGGCAGAATTCACGCTAAAATTTGCTATTATAACATCAACATCACAGTTCCCAATACTTCCATTACATGCTAGAGTTATCCAACTTGAATCGGATTGCAGTGATAACTGATGTACAACACGTATCTTATTCTTTGTTATTCAAGACACAGCCATGACATCCAGGGAAGTACACCGAACTTCCAACCAATCAACAGGAGTTTCACCATCATTAATGTAGAATACACAGTTAAAAAAACAAGTTTAAGAAACATTGTTTTGATGGAGACAATTGGGGTAAGATATAGTTCTAAATAATTTATCCTGGTCTGAAATTTCTCGGCTAAACATAGAGTAATTAGAATAATATTACAAAGCACAGCACCAAGAAAAGCTGATAGAGTTCATCCGGATTATGATTTTACCTTTCCATCCAAGGCCATGATGGCAGATGAAGCCTGTTCTTCTGCTGCATAAGTTATAAAGCCAAAACCTCTAGACCTCCCAGTGTCGCGGTCTACGATAATCTTAGCTGGAAAGAACAAAACAAAAAGAAAAACTAAAAACCATTACCAAAACAGCAGCCCAAGATGAGCACAGAGAAAGATTAAGAACTGCATACCATCAATAATTTCTCCATAATGGGAAAAGGCATCTCTCAGACTGCCCTCGTCTGTGTTAAAGGAAAGCCCTGCAACAATTACTCATGGCAGTCAGAGAACAGCATCGCAGGAGAACAACTGATTTTTGAACAGCCCATCAACAGAGGTAGTATAAGCTACAAGGAGGTCGAACCTCCAACGAAAAGCTTCGATGATGACATGCATCTTATCGCCTGGTAGAGAGTCGGGTTCGAGCTGGTGGCTTTCTTGAGCAGGTTGCCAAGTTTATTAACCAAGGCCATGGTCCCAATCTGCAACGGAACAAGATGTGAGACACAGAACAGGTAAGACAGCTGATCGTCCGATGCAATACTATCCAAAGTTCAGAAACATGTGAGTACTTAGCAGCTTACACCTTTCCTAAGCTCTCCGTTTCCTAATCTCTTCGTTTCCTAAACTAAACATGTGCGTAGATATAATGCTAGAGAGGATGAGGAAACAGTGTTAACGGATTTCCGTTTTCCCCTTTCTTAAGCTCTCCGTTTCTCATTTTGTCGTACGGAGGCCTCCCAAATAAGATGAATAATACAAAAAAATATGCAAAATTGGCTGCTAACGATCAAACCCATTCCCAGTTGCACACCGAGCCAACCCACTGATGCTACACACTTGTCGTTACTCCTCTCGGTGACCTGAATCCTCTCTGTTCGGCGCGAGCAGCCAGACACACGCTAAGCATGGCAAGCACACGCTACGAGTAGAGAAGAACAGAGAGGGAATGAGAAACCCGGGGAGGAGGTCACCTGCTGCCTGCTGCAGTGGAGGGAGACGGCAGCGCGGCGTGGTGCTGCTCCTTGCGGCGGCGAGGGGCAGAGGATCCTGAGGCGGCGGCGCGGGTAGGAGTAAGACCTGGGTGCGTCTCGTCGACCCTTTGCTCCGAGTCTGTGACCTGGGCACCCGTTTTGTGCGTATGCAATTGGGCTGAAAGGGTTTGGGCTTTCGAGTTGAAATTTACTGGGCTGCGTATCTCCCCCCACCTGGTGCCCGCCTTTTTGGGCTTTCAGGTCGAAAGTTAGAGAGCTTTGAACATAGAAATGAAAATTCTGAACTCTGAACTGTTCGAGAAAAGGAAATATGAGCTCTGAACAAATCGCCGTTAAGGTCTAATAAGATCGGTGTAAGAACAAAGAAGCATAGTTCCACCCATGGAAAGCGGTGCTATCGTTAAGGTCTAATAAGGTCGGTGTAAGAATAGACAAGCAAGTTATTGTACTACTCCGTATCAAAATATAAGATATTATTTTAGGCTAGTTCATATTTTAATGCGGAGGTAATAGATGTTGATATTTTTAAAATAAATATGGTCAGACTTTATGAAGTTTGACTGTAGACAATTCTTTTATATGCAGAGTAAAAGGAACTGGAGGGAGTACATGCCATCTGTGCCAACTTCCAACGAGCGAAAAATGTCAGGTGGAAGAAACCGTTATATGGGCCTATCAAGTGTCAAGGTAAATGTTGATGCTCTTATCATGAGGAGGAAGGAAGAGGTGCGACGGGGGCAGTAGTGACGGGTGCGACGGGTACTTTCTTGGCAGCGTCGTGTGCGACAAACCCTTATCTGTTACTAATGTAGCAAATTCCATGGCTATAATTCCATACAGATTGAGGCTAATTGATTAGACCCTGTCAACTCGCTTGTGCAGGTCAAGAAATATTTGGGGAGGAGCCACCATGATTTATCCCCGAATGCTTTGTGATGGCAGGCATGATTGGAAATGTTGAATTTCTTCACTGTGGAAGGGAGGCCAACGAAGTTGCTCATAGCATAGCTAAATTTTATCATGATCATAACGCATCTTGTAATTGGGTCGATGAACCCCTTGATTTTCTTGTTTGTGCCTTGCTGAACGATGTAACCATTTTTTTCAAAACAATAAAATGGTCATGGTGGCATTCCCTGAAAAAACAAGCATGTTTTTTTTTCTTTTTTGCGAATCAAAATAAGCATAGTTCTTTTGCACAAAAGAGATTTGAAAGAATGTGTAGTTCTGTTTTTTCGAATACGAGTTTAAGTTGGTTTGTTGCACAAACAGCAGGAGCTGTCTAAGTTGAGCTCTGAATTGGTCTGAAAGGCCAAATTCTGAGCTCTGAATAGATAGTGGTTAGGGTTTAATAAGATCGATGTAGGCATAAAAACACACGGTTATTTTTCCTTTATCCATTTCTAAAAAAAATCCTTTTCGCAAATTAAAAAACAAGCATATACTAGTTCTAATATCTCAAGAGTTCAGCAAGTTGCGATGTTGCTTACAGTATACTCTGGTGACGTGGACTGTGGCCAGCAGGAGCAGGCGAAACTTAGACAGCAGGAACAGTGCAGTTTTTCCAATGGAGGCCATCAAGATTCTGTCGCGACTAGCGACTAATCGCAGAGCAAAAAGACCCGCCAGGCCGCCACGACCCGGGGCTTGTATGGAGGCGAGATTTTGGTTCAGGAGCACCTGTCGGGCGAGCTGTCTCTCCATCGAGCCGCAGCTTTCTTCTCCAGTTCGATGGGCATGCAATGCAAAAAGATGAAAAGTTGGGCAGAGCTCAGTCCCATTCGTCCGCACCTGAACTTGAAGGTACGTACTAGTTCCCAGATCAAAGTCAATTTAACCACCTAGCAGTACTGTCTGCAGATGTGTCTTTTTTTTAATTGTCTACAGATGTGTCTTGGTCTGATTTCTAACACAACTGCTAATCTGGTACGGTGTCGCGCGCTGGCATGCCAAAGAGCTTCGCCATGTGCAGACGAGCGGCTGTTGCCAACGGAGGCAGGGCTCCGTTTCTCCAGCTGCGTCGTCGTCGGTGCGCCGTGCACGCGACAAGACGACCAACACGTGCGCGCGTCGATCGGCAGAATTCCAACGGCATGCCAGTACGGGCGGGGATGCTGCTGACGCCAGGTAGGTAGGCGGTGGTGCACGCTGGTGGCGGCCGGCCGGAGTTCGCCATGATTTGTTCCCGTGAATACCTCCCCGGCCCACAGCCATGCGTTGCACCGTGCACGTCGAGGTCTCCGCATTTAATCGGCGGTCGACCGGCTGCTGCTTTGCTTGCGGAAGCTTCTCCTCTTCCTGTCGTGTGCACTGTGGCCGCGATGGAGCCATGCAATGTGGTACACGACGGCGAACTCGTCCAAGCAATAGGACCGGCCCCATTCATGTGTCGCATCCATAATTAAGCTCGGCTGCGAGAGTTCTGAGACTTGGCCATGACCATGCGCGCGCCCTGGTTTGATCTGTCGGTTTGATTACGGGCAGCCATGTGGATGGCATCGGACCTGGCTACGACCTCGCGTTTGATTAGTTAATCACCCCGTCAACGAGCCACCCGTGATGCATAACATGCATAGAATGATAGTCGAATAAAATAAATGGGCCAGGAAATGGTGGTGGTACAGTGAGGGTGGAGAGGGCACGAACTGGCACGGCCATCTATCATCGATCGGAGGCCAATCAGCGTCAAGGAAAGTCAGGCTTGCTGGTAGTGGTGCTATAGCAGACCTCTCGCAAGCTGCCTCGGCGTTGATTCCATCTGCCACGGCATGGCGGTGAGCTCCAAGAACACCCACCACTCGCCGGCGGTCGTCTTCCTCCTCGGGGCCATCTCGGCCACCGCGGTGCTCGTCTTCTTCTTCACCGCCACCGCGGGACCCGCATGGCCCGCGGCGACCACGGAGCTCTCTCCTCGGAGGAGCCAGGAGGCGGCCCGGTCGGCTCCAGCGCCGACGCCCAAGGCCTCTTCTACCACCAATGCGGTACGGTCTATTTGCTCTTCCATCGGCCGTTGCTATCTAGAGTAGCCAGACCCCAACGGTTTCGTTGGCGCAGACGGGCGGCGACGACGCGTTCGCGCGGATGCTGCGGCGGGCGGCGATGGAGGACCGGACGGTGATCATGACGTCGGTGAACGAGGCGTGGGCGGCGGAGGGGTCGCTGCTGGACTCGTTCCTCGAGAGCTTCCGCGTGGGGCTCAACATCTCGCACCTGGTGAAGCACATCGTGGTGGTGGCCATGGACGAGGGCGCGCTCCGCCGGTGCCGCGCCGTGCACCCGCACTGCCACCTGCTGCTCCCGGACGTCGACGGCCTCGACCTCTCCGGCGCCAAGAGCTACATGACCAAGGACTACCTCGACCTCGTCTGGAGCAAGCTCCGGCTCCAGCATCGCGTCCTCCTCCTCGGCTACAACCTCCTCTTCACGGCACGTCGTCTCGTCGCCAATGCCTGTGTGCGTCTCGTCGACCCTTTGCTCCGAGTCTGTGACCTGGGCAGTGGACTGGGCACCCGTTTTGTGCGTATGCAATTGGGCTGAAAGGGTTTGGGCTTTCGAGTTGAAATTTACTGGGCTGCGTATCTCCCCCCACCTGGTGCCCGCCTTTTTGGGCTTTCAGGTGGAAAGTTAGAGAGCTTTGAACATCGAAATGAAAATTCTGAACTCTGAACTGTTCGAGAAAAGGAAATATGAGCTCTGAACAAATCGCCGTTAAGGTCTAATAAGATCGGTGTAAGAACAAAGAAGCATAGTTCCACCCATGGAAAGCGGTGCTATCGTTAAGGTCTAATAAGATCGGTGTAAGAATAGACAAGCAAGTTATTGTACTACTCCGTATCAAAATATAAGATATTATTTTAGGCTAGTTCATATTTTAATGCGGAGGTAATAGATGTTGATATTTTTAAAATAAATATGATCAGACTTTATGAAGTTTGACTATAGACAATTCTTTTATATGTAGAGTAAAAGGAGCCGGAGGGAGTACATGCCATCTGTGCCAACTTCCAACGAGCGAAAAATGTCAAGTGGAAGAAACCGTTATATGGGCCTATCAAGTGTTTGATGCTCTTATCATGAGGAGGAAGGAAGAGGTGCTACAGGGGCGGTAGTCCGTGAGAACATGGTACTTGCTTGGCACCGTCGTGTGCGACAATCCCTTATGTTGCTAATGTAGCAAATTCCATGGCTATAATTCCATGCAGATTGAGGCTGATGGATTAGAGCCTATCAACTCGCTTGTGCAGGTCGAGAAATATTTGGGGATGAGCCGCCAATGATTTATGCGGAATGCTTTGTGACGGCAGGCATGATTGGAAATGTTGAATTTCTTCACCGTGGAAGGGAGGCCAGCGAAGTTGCTCATAGTATAGCTAAATTTTATCATGATCAGATCATAATGCATCTTGTAATTGGGTCGATGAACCCCTTGATTTTCTTGTTTGTGCCTTGCTGAATGATGTAACCATTTTTTTCAAACCAATAAAATGGTCATGGTGGCATTCCCTGAAAAAACAAGCATAGTTTTTTTTTGTGAATCAAAATAAGCATAGCTCTTTCGCGCAAAAAAGATTTGAAAGAAATGTGTAGTTCTGTTTTTCCGAATACGAGTTTAAGTTGGTTTGTTGCACAAACAGCAGGAGCAGGTTTTTTCTCCAGTTCGATGGGCATGCAATGAAAAAAATGGCAGAGTTCAGTACCGTTCGCCTGCACCTGAACTTGCAAGCATGGCCTGGAGTAGTTCGTATAGCAAAGTCAATGTAACCACCTAATTTGACCTACTGTCTACAGATGTGTCTTGGTCTAATTTCCAACACAACTAGTACTCCCTCTGTTTTTATTTATTCTGCATATTGAAGTTGACTGAAGTCAAACTTCGTAAAGTTTGACCAAATTTGTAGAAACCAATATAGACATTTATCATAATAAATCTATATGATGTAAAAGTATATTTAATAATAAATCTAATGTTATTGATTTATTATTGTATATTTTAATATATTTTTTATAAATTTGGCAAAGTTTGTAGAGCTTGGCCTTGATTAAATCTAATATGCGAACTAAATAAAAACGGAGGGAGTACTAGTCGCTGGCATGCCAAAGAACTGCGCCACGTGCAGACGAGTGGCTGGTGCCAACGGAGGCAGGGCTCCGTTTCTCCAGCTACGTCGTCGGTGCGCCGTGCACGCGACACGACGACCAACACGTGCGCGCGTCGCTCTGGCAGAGTTCCAACAGCATGCCAGTACGAGCGGCGATACTGCTGACGCTAGGCAGGGAGGCGCTGGTGACGGCCGGCCGGAGTTCGCCATGATTTGTTCCCGTGAATACCTCCCCGGCCCACAGCCATGCGTTGCACCGCGCACGTCGAGGTCTCGGCATTCAATTGGCGACAGTGTCTGTCGACCGGCTGCTGCTTTGCTCGCGGAAGTTTCTACTCCCCCTCTGGACGTGTGCACTGTGGCAGCGATGGAGCCATGCAATGTGGTACACGATGGCGAACTCGTCCAAGCAATAGGACCGGCCCCATTCATGTGTCGCATCCATAATTAAGCTCAGAAGGTAATATTATCGAAAGTCATAGAACTTGCGCTGGCCGTTCAGTTTGGTGCTAAAACTTTAAAAATACGGATTTTTATTCTTCAACTTGCGTTCCCGTGCAAATATAGTCACTTCGTTCATATTTCAGACGTGTCCCGTGCTTACATGGCGTGCCAACATGGCTATGGCCCACTGAAGAGACTAGAACTGCTCAGTGCGACATGCGCATTTTTTTTGCATAATCACCCCTCTGTACTTAATTAAACAGAAGCCCCTCAATAACATGTGTGGGTTCCACTTGTCAGCATGGGTGGTGTGAGAAATGAAAATAAAAAGAAGGCATAACATGTGTGGGTTTCACTTGTCAGCATGGGTGGTGTGAGAAATGAAAATAAAAAGAAGGCATAACATGTGTGGGTTCCACTTGTCAGCATGGGTGGTGTGAGAAATGAAAATAAAAAGAAGGCATTGGGGTACTCGAACAGCCGACCTCATATACAACCTCATATACAACGCACGCTGTAGCCAACCACTACACCAACTACATACAGTGACTATTTAGAGATACACTTGATTTTATATTGTACGTAGTTCTTTTTCTAGATTCCTCTTTTCTATTTACTTTTTGGAAAATCTTGCCTTTTTGCCAAAAAATTCAAATGAAAAAAACAGCATCAAAATATATAATGATTAATCCATAAAGTACAAAACTTTTCCATGAGCAAATTTTTTTATTCGATTCCCTTTTTTCGGAAGGGGCTGGAAAATCCGTGTTTCAAAATATCTCAAAAATTCCAGTTTTTTCACCTACATTTTTGAATTCAATTTTTTTTAATGTCTAAGTTTATTTAGTCTGACAAACAATTTAAAAAAGTTATCATAAATTCAGTCTGGGAGAAAAAAAAGGAATACGAGTAGTTATCATGACAAAATTATAAAATTCAGTGTTTCTCTAAATAGGCAGTGATAGGTATTTTGTGTTGTGGTTAGCTCGTGCACTGACACGCTCGATGTTTTTTAACACCGTACAGATGCAAGCGTTCATATACACACGCATACACTCACCCCTATGAATGCACACACGCACACCCTACACTATGAGCACCTCCGAAGGACTGAGCCGGCATATCATCTTTAAATTTATGAAGTCACCGTAGGCACCTCGTCATCGACGGGAACGTCTCCTCCCACTAAATGTGCATCGCTGGAAATCCTTAAAATAAATTCATGAATAAATACAAGCACCAGGACTTGAACCCTGGTGGGCTAGGGATACCACAGTCCCTCTAACCATCCAACCACAGGTTGGTTCAGGACACGCTTGATGTTGAGAGATCGATTTCGTCGTTCCCCTTTTTTTTGCCAAATTATCCATCCGCCCAAACATCAATTTGACACACTGACCACTGGGCCCTGCGTAGATTAGCCTAATTAACCGTTTAGCCTAACCCATTGTTAGTATCCCATTGACTAGTGGCCCTACCCCTAAATTACCCATTAGACGTATGGGCCTATTTAACGGCCTTTTGCGTGTCGTTAAATAAAGTTTAGCCCTAGATGTTCAACGTGAGTCGGTGGTGGTGTGGGTTGTACGGTATCTGTTTTAGTAACAGGTCGTGGGTTTGAACCTCACTGTCCCATTTTTTTCACTATATTTGAGGCCTTTTGTGCACAATTAAATAAATTGTAAGGTGGTTTTCTACAAAAAATATCCGGCGTGCTAGAGTCACCCAACGCCGTGTGTAGTCTAGCCATTGACAGGCGGGCCTCCGCCAGGCTGGCGCGCCATGTGAGCAGGCCATACGGCTAGATACGAGAGGAAACACCGTATTTGCATGAGAACGCAAGTTGAATGACCACAAATCCGTTCCTCCTGTCCGTGGCGGCTGGAACCCTAGCCGCTGCCAGGAGACCCAATCTTCCAGCGCCGTCCTCCGGCGGCTCCCCTCCGTCGGCGACCTCGATCGTCGGTGGTGAGGGGGGTCGCCGGATCCACGCGTGTGGATCGTTTTTACCTCTTCGTAGTTTAGATTTTTAGGTTGGTCATCGTCTTTGTTTCGGCGGCGACGATGACAACACTGAATAAAGATTCTTCGGATCCTTTCTTGACAAGGTCATCGGTCCTATGGTTGGGGATGGATTTGGAAACCAGTCTGTTCAAGCAAGGATGGCGTGGCGGCGGCGGCATCCTCGTAGTGGACCTGTGTCCTCGGGCTCCGCCGTTGCTACGACGTTTGCTCCAGCGTCGGCGCGGAGCTTGGTAGGTAGTCCAGGAGCGGATGCAAATTGTGGTCTGCATCGACGACATCTGGAAGACGGAACATGTGCTGGGTTCATGGTTCGTGGATGGCAGGTATGGTTTCCTTCTGCGGCGTATTAGCCGCGGTGAGGTGTCATATCTGGAGTTCGATGGCGTGTCCGGGGTGTTGCCCCGATCTGATTCGTTCAACGGTAAGGGCTTCACTTTTGGTGAGCCACCTTGGAGGCC